TGACTGAAAAAACTGCATCTTTACAAAATTCATATCAATCTATTGAATTGTCGAACAGAAAAAAAAACGATGTGTTTACATCGAGCAGCATACAGGAGAACGAGGAGGTAAGTCTGATGGGTGTCTGTTTTATGTAGCTAGGGGAAAGAGATTGGAGATTCCGATTTCGATGGAACCAATTTGGATGGTTGGATATCGAGGGCGGAACAGTGTTTCACGGTGAACAAATTGAGTGATGAAGAAAAGACTGAAGTACCGATCCTTGCGTTTGAGGGCATTGCTCTCCGCTGGTTTCGTTAGGAGAATAGTCATGGACCGGTGAGGAGATGGGATGATCTCAAATTGATGCTGTTGAGGCAATTCAGATCGACGGTGGAGGAGAAGATTAAAGTGGTGCATCGTAGTAGTATCAAGTTTGTGGAATACCAAGAAATTGGATGTGAGTGCAGAGAAATCGAAGATACAAGCAGAGAGAAAATATCGAGGAAGGGAAAAAAAGAGAACAGACAGAAAAGAGGATCGAGACTTGAGGGGAAGGGGTACGTTACTTGACGGCCATCTTGAGCCACCGCTGCCGCCATCTCCTACGTCATCATCGCCACCGTCACTGCCGCCGCCGATGTGAGTAGGTGTGGGAGAAGGATTCTGTTTTGGTGATTAAATTGGCGTGAGCSTTGGGAGAGYCCAGCCTCTTGAATGCTGGATTACCTTCTTGTATTCATAATTCACCAATTTTACTAGTGAGAATCATATGCAATCCTAAGCATTCTTCTAATTTGTGTATAAGAGTACATCATTGGCTATCCACAATTTATGGCACTTCAAAATATTATGAAATTGTTCTTCAATCATTGTATATGATCAGATGATAAGATTAAAAAACTATTCTTAAGTATGTTGACAATAAGGTCGTTTATATATGACATGTCCGTACACAAACAAGTTAAATCTTGATAAATGAACACATAATGCATCACCTCGTTGTTGCTTACTTACAAAGGTAATAATAAAGACTAACAACCATTCAAGTTGATTTGATAGCATGGTTCAAAAGATAACCTAAACAACATGTTCACCATGCAGCAACATATTTATCATATGTTTGCCTAACTTAGAAAAGTTACCAATATTTTAAAAAATTACCATAATCAATTACCTAAATTCACATACTCGAAGCTCAATGGTTCTAACATTCTGTCACACATGATTATGGAAACAAGGTTAAAGGAAAATCTCAAATATACCTGCTCTCTTACTAAACGTCCGAAGAACAATAAGATTCTCATGCTTCTTCACCCATCCCATTTTGGAATCAAGTCCAGAAAATTCAATGTATGCTTCATCCAGTACAACAAGTAACGGTAGATTAAGTATCTTCAATAAAACATCTTCACTGATCACACTGCCAAGGAATATATGACAAGACCATTTTACAATAGCAACATCAAGATGTGCAGAATAAAAGTAAAATTACAAACAAGACTTGGGAATTTAATTAAAAACAACATTTAAAAGTTCCTATGTAAAGCTCAAAGAATTTACACAAGGAAACGGCTAGCACATATCAAAGCCATGAAAAAGAATCTCAAGACAACGCCTATAACCTGATGCGTTATTAAGCAACATGAAGAGGAATATTCATCAAATATTCTCGCTTGAACAATAACAGGTTAAATCTTGCAGGGTCATAAATAAGCCAATAACCAAGTAATCAATTACAAGGTGAAGGAAAATAGAACTACGGCCTAATACTTCATTTAGTTTAGAAACTTTGGTGCTCCGATGCTCATTTTGATGAACATGAACCCTTTGCAATAGCATTGGTCCTGGAGAAGGTATAGTAGCTCAATGCAGAAAGCCAATTTCATGACATGTCTAGAGATATCTTTTTATTGATCCGTCAAGCTCATATATGTAGTATACAGCTCTCTAAACTAATCTTGGAAATAATTGGTAAAAGTTAGTCACACAAACTACGGCATGAATAATTCTGACTTACTATCATGGCCGTACATGATGTACAGGAGAATACAAGACGAACAAAGGAAACAACATCAACGAATAAAGGGAAAGTATACAACTAAGGTCTTGTGTATATCCGAGACCCTTGACTACCTTGAAAAAACGTTTGAACCATGCTCAAGGAGATTGTTTTAGGCCATACAAGGACTTGTTGAGTTTGCAAAAAGGTGTCGCACTTGGGGATTCTTCAAATCCAAGTGGTTGGCTCATATAGACTTCCTCTTTAAGTTCAACGTCAGAAAGACATTAATTACATATAGTGATGCTATTCCCAGTCCAAGTTTCCTGCTAGAGAGAGTAAAATTATAAGGGGGCATTTGGTTTGAGGGAATAATTTTAAGGGATTTGGATTTCATGGAAAGATTTGGAATTCGATGGATTTGGATTTGGAATATTAAATTTGGAATAGAATTGAATTCCATCTTTATAAATGATTAGAAAAATAATTACTTTCTTATTAATTGATTATTACGAAACAAATGTTTTTAACACATTTTAAAACATTATTACATATAAATCCTATGAAATCCCATGAAATATCCAACCAACCTCGTGGGATTTCAAAATTCTATTCGGGATTTCAAGTCCGAGAAATCCTTCAAACCAAACATGGGATTAGAATGGAATTCAATTCCAAATCCCTTCAAATCCAATCCAAACCAAACTGGACGTAATAGTGTTGAGTTTGGCAACTGGGCCAAAGGTCTCAGTATGGTCAATTCTATAAGTTTGCGTAAACCCTTTTGCGACTAACCAAGCTTTGTCCCTTCCTACAGAACCCATTAGCATTGTACTTGACTTCAAACACCAATTGCATCCTACCACCATTTTATCATGTGGCGATTCCACTAACTTCGTAGTCCTAATTTGTTTGAGTGCTCTCATTTCTTCAAGAAGGGTTGCTCTCTATTCAACAATATTAGGGTTTCTTTAATGTTACTAGGGATCACAACAACTAATAAACTAGAGGTGAAAGCTTTAAATGAAGATGACATATTTGAATAAGAGATGAAATTAGAGATAGGATATCAAGTGCATGACCTCTGTTCCTTTCTTTAATGTTATAGGAATATTTAGATTTTCATCAACAGTTGAGTGATGATTACTTGGTAGAGATGATGGTTCTATCTATGTGTTGGTTTCTTGATCGTAATGAGGATTCATGACTTGATTATTTCTCTGTCTTCTAAAATAATCACGCATCTCAGGTTGTTGATCTTGGTTTGGAGGATAGAGAATGTTTTCAAAGAAACTGGCATCCCTTGAGACATAAGTCTTTCATGTGAGAGGACAACAACATCAATAGCCTTTTTCGTATAAGAATGATCCAAAAAGATCGTCCTAATTGCATTAAGATCAAGCTTTCTACGATCCTAAGAATGAACACACACAAAGGCCACACAACCAAAGATTTTAGCGAGATGATTATTTGAGGAAATGTTAGGGTGGGAAGCAAGGATGCAACAAGGTGTGTTAATGAGGTTGATGGCAGTGAGAATGGCATCTCCAAAAAGGTACTTTGGCACGTACATGGCAAACATGAGGGCTCGGGCAATTTCTACCAGATGATAATTTTTCTCTTGACTCTACCATTTTGTTGGGGTGTATAAGCAGATGAGCTTTGATGGATAATTTCATCATGGGATAAACAAGACCAAGGCTAAATTGAAATATTTAGTGCCATTATACGTTCATAACATACGAATGGATGTTTGGTACTTTGTTTGAATCATGCAGCCAAAGTTTTGAAAGACATGACATGCTTCAGATTTGTGCTGAAGTAATTAAACCTAACCGGTACATGGGTGATTATCTACAAATGATATGATGAACCAATATTTCCTATAAGAGGTACCAACTTTTGAGGGTCCCCATAGGGCATTGTGGATTAGATAGAATAGGTCGGCTGGTGTAAGGAATTACGAGGAAATGAGGTTCATGTATGTTTAGCAAGTTGAAAAGTATTGCATAGTAAATAGACATAAATTTTATCAAAACAAATACTTTTATGTATGGAAAATTGCCCAAAACTCAATAGTGCCATAACATAACTTTGCTAGGAATTGAAACTAAATTCAAAACCAAACAAGAAATCAGAAGTAGATACGCTAGGTTGTTTTCTTTTGTTGATCTTCGAAAAAATAGTCCATGAACCCTAGCACTTCTAATCATCCTCCTCGAAGATGGATCCTAAATTTGACAAATGGTGAGCAAAACTTTGGCAAGACAATGCTTATCAGTAGTCAATTTGTTGACCGAGATCAACTTATACTTTGTATAAAAAACATAAAAGACAAATTTAAGAATTAGATATGCAGATAATCTAATTGCACCAATTACAACAATGAAAGAGTGCCATCGGCAACTTTGGCACTAGAGTTGTTAGAACAAGGATTGTACGAATCAAATAAATGATAAAAACCT